GACAAGATAGCTATTGTCAAGTTAACCAGTATGAAGCTAAAGCTACACAAAAGATGTCCGGTTTACGTTAGTTAGCTAGCTAGCTAACAACAACAGCTGGCAGAAGAATTACTGACAAACATAATATTAATGACCGTATATAGTACATGACCTTCACGTATTGCTTTCACGTGTAACTTCTTATAGCAATAAACACAAGTAATATGGTGATTTCGATAATGACGTTGCTTCGTTTTATTTCTTCTATTTTCCCGTTGCAACAATGTGCTTTTATTTTGAAGGAGCACGGCTGTTTGCCGGTATCGTAGGCTGCCTTGATTACACACACACACCACACACACACACACACACACACACACACACAGACAGACACAGACACAAATACACACAGAAACGAGTACAAAAACCAATGGAAGTACAACGGTGCATGCACCTTGTGTGGATTTATATTGGTGTATACACAGGACTAGCACACTCTGTCTGATGAACACATGTGAGATGCAAAGGCAGTAGGCCTACTCACACACATGCATGTACACACACACACACGCACAAAGTGAGGATTTGAAATCTTTGCAGACTGGAAACTGATATCCTCGCTTTGTTCTCTTAATGGTCCTGTTCCGTTTTTATTATTCTGAATACCTGACCCACCTGTACAGCCAGAGGAGACTTTATCCTGCCCGTCGTCTCCCATGAAACACCGCCAGATACAGTTTCCCTTTCTCTCCCCATTCTTCCCCCTCTATCGGCTACAGCTACAGTTTCAAATTGCTTCCTCCACTCGTGGTTTTCTTTTTTTTTCTTCCTCTTCTTATTCTTCCCCGCTTTCTTCTGTGGTCCATTTTCCTACAGCAGACAAATGATCGGCATTGATGAACACAAGGCGGTATTCAGCGGACTCACACCCAGCAGAAAAGGGGGAAAAAAACTGTTTTTTTTGTAAGAATCTTTTTAATGAAACACAAAAAGGCAATAAAATTAAGATAAATAAATTTTTCCTTTTGTACATGAGGAAATATTTAAGTCATATTTCCAAAGAATGACTGAAATTACATAATATATTTTAGTAGGCTATCTCAACCGTACAAAGCAAGTTCCAGTGGGTCTAAAAAAACACAATGATGTCGCTTCTGTCAAAACGTGATGGTTAGAACTGAATCCAGTGTTTCTTAAAGAAAATACAGCTTTAAAAAAATTCAATTAAAGACCCATAAAAGTAATATTTTAAAACTGAGTTTCACATTAGATTACTTTTAAAGCTTTTGCTTTGCAGTGTAACAGCAACATTGTTGTTAAAAGTCAGTCAATGTCTTAGAAAAAGAAAAAGGCATTCACGTTCTTCCCCCCTGTACATCCTATACACTGACAACAAACAGTCATTACAGGCTTGCATAAACAGTAAGACAATGGTAAACGAGGAAAACAAGCAAACATAAAACACACAGAGACATTTTTGGCAAAGCAGGAATAAAAGTGACAAGAAGCATAATTTGTGATTTGATCCTTATCTTGTTTTTTTTGTCTCTCAACATTGTCCCATTGATTGGCTCTGATTGTCCTTCACAGTCACGTGATGCCATTCTGGTTGCCATAGAGACCTCAAGTGCATCAGCTGGGCAGTGTGCAGACAATGTTGCTGCAACGTTTCTCAGAGACTGTCATAGCAACGCTGGATGAACACGAGCAGTCAACGAGAGGAACTCTACTTAAAATACCTCGGTGATTGCAGGGGTCCCGGATTCAGATTTGATTGATCGTTTTTTTGTCTTTTTCATAAAATTGTTTTCTTCTAATGCGGCGAAGCGTAAACTCACAGGTGCTTTGGTATGTTTCTTTTTGATGCCAGATAAATATCTACATTTTATATAGGAATACAGGCTAAAATAGATAAAGAATAACTAGATTCTTTTAGGATCAGAGAACAGCAGAAACTCAGTTTCTTTTCCAGTATTTGTTTTTCAAAAAAGCTCCCAACAGGAAATGCACATTCAAAACCCAACAGATTAAAATAAAGAGAAAAAAAGTTGTTTAAAAAGAGCCTTTTTCTGATTTCCTTATAAAAGCAACATTTCCCAAACACCCTTTCAACATATTCACCCTTCGCCTAAAGCAGGGCTTACAACCACAAAGTCTTCACATCAGTTGTACAGTTTGACCGCAAATCCAAACCTCCAATCCTGTTCAGTGCATTGAGAGAGAAGGAAACTAACCCATCCTCCTCCCTCTGTCAGACCCTCCCAAACCCACCCACACACCCTAAAAAAATCTAAATAAAATAATCTCTGCAAAAGAAAACAACAAAAAACAAGAACAAATATATATGTATACTATTTACAACATGTTATATTATACATAATGCTGTACAAAGCACACACACACACAAACACTCCCGCGCACACATACGCACGCACCCCAACATGCTCGCACCACTCACATAAACAATCCAACAACCTGTACATGTGTCTTCGCACCTGAATCGGAGGATACGAGAGAGAGGTATTGACGTGTATGGCTTGACAGGAGAAGCAATAATTTCTGCACATTAGGAACTGGACAGATTAATATTCAGAGTGTTAGAGACATACCGACGGCATGTCATGACGTCATCTTTTCTTGATGAGCACAGGTGTACACGTGCATGACCACACACACAGTACAAACACACACCAACGCACTATTTACTTAGAGCTCATTAAATGCCAAACAGGGTCATTGCAGCCACTCTGAAAACCCACTCACACACACACACACATACATACACGCATTTACACACAAAGTCCGAACTACAGTGTTTTTTGGTCCTGTTGGGGATTTCCCAATCATGTTGGGATCATGTCAAACTACCAGTATAAGACCATTAAAACCCTCCAAACCAGTGTGGTTTACAGTAAGTCTCTCCTTCCCATACAGTCTCTCCTGCTCTCTGAGCCAGTCTGTGTTTCAGAAAGCCAAGTCCGCCACCCTTTCCTCCATAGCATATCCAAGCTACCGTACTCCAAAGTGCTCATGTCCTTCGTTCCTGTTCTTTTGTTGCAGTAATCTTGTCGCAGTGACGAGACGCTCTGTTATTCCAGCCACAGGGAAGGCTGTAGACTCTGGCTGCAACAAGGAGCCTCAGTCCACATCTGATACAGAAGTTAAATCTGGCATGGATCAGACTTTTCCCCAGAACAAACCAGACTCCTCTAAGTGCCAGTACTGTCGGGCTTTATCCAGTGGGCTAGCTCCTTCTCTTACAAGGGACAGATCAATACGCAGAGCCCAAACTCTTTGTCTTGGTTTCCCTCTGTCCCCTGCTCTGTTCTGAACCATCCTGGAAGCAGTGAACTCCAGACTTCAGGTCAATTATTTGGATTTCTCTCTAGCTGGTGGTGCTAGGACACAATGGTCATGCCGTCCGCGCTGATGAGCTGGCCTGTGGTCGGTTCATACGTTCCTGCTAGGTAGAACAGGTCGTTCACCGTGCTGCCGGGCTTACGTTCAAGCATTAGGTGATCATACTCTGTCTTGCTGACCACCTGGCAGCGATGGGAGATAGTCTGCACATCATTCTCATCCTCATGGCTCGACTGATACAAGGCATTCTAGGAGAGAGAAGGGAAGAATGGTTGATAAATCAGCAAGATAATAAATCTGACAATCAAAATGGTAAGTGGTAAGATTATCATGTTTTTGTTGGCAATATCGTTGGTTTTCATTCTGTACTTCCCACACATACTTTCTTTGTCTTTGTCGTGTGTTTTACTGTGGATTTTCTTATGATGAAGTTTGAGTTTCTACAAGTGGTGATCTTTTATGTTTGCACAGCCATGGCTAATGTTGCTGCTCATGTTAACTACCTAGCTCTTTTTCTATTTGTTACAAACAAACTACTATTGCTGTTGCCAGAAATGCAAAATGCATGACTTCCCTGCAGCAGAGATTTTTCCTGGGAAAGACCAACCTTACACTGAGTATTCAGAACTGCAAATGGTAACAGTTTCATAAACTAAGTGGAGGTGCAACCATTCATATCAGATGGGAATAGGGAATAAAAGGAAGCAAAGTGGTAATATACTTATATGAAAATGTCACGGACTGTTACTTTGACCATTCCCGTTTTAGAAATTCTACTTGCACTCCCTAGTCCTTACTTTGCCATCGCGGTGTCGCTTCCCCAGCCGAGTCTCCTCTGGGTGGTAGAACCACTTGACCCTGACCACCATGCTGGAGCTCCACGACTCCCAGAGGCTCTCCACTCTGCCCACGTAGGGCAGCTGGGGCCGGCCAGGTGACAGGAACACAGCACAGTCCCCGACACGCACCGTCTCCTTGCCCCGCACGATGGCCTTGTAGAAAAGCTTGCGGGCTTTACCCTTCAGACCTCTCCTCTGTCAGGGAAAGAGAATAAAAATAGCACTCTCAGTCAATTTATTTAGTGTGGAGGGGTTTATTTCACCACCAGGCTCATTTCAGAAATTAATTAGGATTCTTGTTTGTTTTGCTAAACCCAGTCTACTGAAGTATGGTGAGATTTAATTTGTCTTTCAAAGCCAAAAAATAGCTTCTAGACATAAAATAGGTGTTCGATGCCTAACACCCATCAGAACACTGATCCTATTCAGTTATAGTAGTATGTTTGCTGGCACACCAGTAATTCACTCTTCACCCTGATAAAGGCAATACCACTGAAACTCATGTAGAAATGAAATCACAGTAACCATAACCTGGGTAACACACCTATATTTCTGCTACATATTTTGATTTGTTGGGCCATGTGCACACCAAAGGGTCAGCTTCTTTATAAGCTGCACAACACGTGTTTACAAAGCAAACAACATGGCAGAATGGAAGCTGAGAGTGGCAGCGGTAGCTCAGACTGTTTTGTTCTGTTATCTCAGGATTGTGACTGTAGGATTCTGATAATCTAGATAACAAATTTGGAGATTAGCCAGACCGAGTAAACCTTATAGTGTTACCCATGTGTACAAAGTCTGAGGCAGAACGAGCAATGCCAAGAGAGATCATATTTGATCATCACATTCACTGTATGTAAGGTGTGACACAGCAGGAACTGCAACAACAGTGAGTAACCTACTTAAGTTGTGAGACTAAATATGTTACTGATATCTAAGACAATTATCTTGAAACCATATAACCAAGATAATAAAGTCTGATTATAAGAAAACACTGTCTGATTAAGTCAGGATTTCAGTCTAATGGGATTTGGTTGTGAGAAATCACAGCTGGTCTCAAGTTCTGCAGTAAAGTGTGAAAAGCAGAAAGGTTACAAAAAACAAAGAGACATTGGAAAAACAAACCAAACAACAAACTCCGAAATTATTCACCACTGACCATCTCTAAGAACACATTAAATACAGCGCCAAGTGTCCTACCTGTGTGGGGTTGCCAGACCATTTCCAGAGCTGGCGTCCAGGCAGAAGGGGAGCCATGTTGGGCAGAGGCTCGGGAGAAGACATTCTCTGTCTCTTAGCTGTTGCCGGGTCCTTGGAGGCCGGTTTAGGCTGCTGGCTCCCAGGACTGCTTTGGCTCTGATGGTGGCTGTTAGGAATTCCTTCTTTCCTCTTCAGCTGAGCCTTACCTGTGCTACTGTTAGCCACCATACTTCCTTTTGACATGAACTCCTTCCTGTCTTCTGCTCTGTCAGCTCTCACCTTTGACCCAGAGACAGCCATGCTGGCTTTGGCCACAAAGCCATGAGCCGGGGCTGAGGCAGAGGGAGACGAGCTGGAGGTGGTAGGGTCAGGGCTCAGGAGGTCGGAGGTCATGTTCTGCCTGTGCTTCTGTTTGTCCTGCTGGAGCAGTGCGCGGCGCAGCAGCACAGAGGAGGACTCTTCATCGGAGGAGTAAGAGGAATCATTGTCTGAGGAGCAGAGGGATGAGGAGGAGATTGAGCCGGAGGAGGAAGAAGAAGAGGATGATGAGGAGAAGCAGACGGAGAGACGAGAGAGAAAACGACCACCACGGTGGGACGTGACTGGTGCACTTCCTCTACGTGCTTCAGCATCTTGACCATCATCCTCATCATCCTCGTCCAGCTCAGAGTAAGAGCTGGGGCAGTCACTGGGGTAGTCCAAACTGTAATCCCCCCCTTGGACTCCAAGACCTCCTGGCAGAAGATCCTTTCTTAGAGGCGGAGTGCCCTTTGGAATAGCCTCAGAACGGGCCCCAGCGCTGTCTCTTTCCCCTCCTCCCTTCTTGCCATCCTTTACCAGCATGGCAGGGTGGATGTATCGCAGCGGTGCTCCTGTGGAGGCGAGACTCTTGCCTCTGCTCCTCTCTCCTCCTCCACTCCCCCCCAGTCGAAGCAGGGCCTTGCCGTTCTTTGTTTTAGGAGAGGTCACTCCTTCATGGTCAAGCTTCACCAGGAACTGTTTCCTGTCACGTTCGCTCACTGGCTTCCTGCTTCCAGCAGCCATTGCCGTGGTGACAGCTGAGGAGCAAGCAGAGGACGGGGATTCCCGGAGCCCCATGGAAGCTACTGTGGTAACCGGTCGCCCGGCGCCAGAGCTTCCGAAGGTAGAGTAGCCGTTGGCAATGCTACTGAATGAGTCACCTTCAAAAGGGGAGCCAAAGATGCCTTTGATAGGCATTGGGTTTGCTAGAGGGTGGGAGGCGGGCCGGTGAAAGAATCCTAAGTCTCGCTCTCGTATCCTCCTCTGGGTCTTACGGTACGTCCCATTGAAGAGGAAGAAGTCAACTGGTGGTCTCTTCCTGGGCACGGACCAGTTCAACAAGGAAGCGTTGCCTTTGGTTACAGTGTCTGTTACAGATGTTGGTGTGCTGGCAGTCTTAGGCACTGAGTGGATTTTCTTCGGTCTGCCAACTGAGAAAGGATCCAGAAACAGAGAGGAGTTATAATCAATATGAACTGACAGGTCTTAACAGCAGACTAAGATTAATTGTGGAAGTGAGAACTTTGGAGAAACTTAATATCTTTATCTCTTTGATCTTCACCTGGCCAGGTAAGTTACGACATGTTCATTACTCAAACTACAATAAACCTGGTAAACCTGTCTCTCCCTCCACCTTTATTGTTATCCTGAGATTGTGATGAGTTACATGTATGTTGCTTGACTACACAAAGCACATAGATGACACTTCATAAAGTCATGATTAATATGGCCATATAGAGGGTAAATGATAGGCAGCAAACAATTTCAATTTCCGTTTAAATACCTCTACTCAGTGCTCTCTTCTGCACCAGCGGTATCTGATAACAGTTAGAACTGTAAATGAGGCCTTGTTTGAGGGATTTTAGTATGGCCTGAAGTGCTGTGTGCTTGTGTGTGTGAATGTATTTACTAGTTAGACCACTTCTTCTCTGAAAACATATATTAAAGCTTCTGTGTTTGTCAGTCCATGAGTGGATTCCTAAGACTTCAGTCTTTCTTAAACATTAGAAGACTGTGTAATAGTTATTAAAAATAAGGATGCCTTACCTGGTCTTTTCTCTTGGGGCCTCCCTGATTGGTCCTCATTGGCTGATTTCTCTGTGGGTGTGTCTTTCTTCTCCTGGGTGGAGCTTCGTCGACCCCGGCGACCAGGTGAGATCAGAAGTGCTGGAGAGGGTTCCGCACCTGATAGAGAAGAGTTTGTTTTTATTCATTTATTCTCTCTGTCTGTCTGTCTTCTTTCCATCCCTTCTTTTTAAAGCCATACTCACAGTGGATTTGGTACCCAGGGGGCAGAAGTCTGATGTTTGCAAGGGAGATCCTTCCTCTGTCTCCATCATCAAACTCCACCATCACACTACCCTCTTTCTCCTCCTCACCAGGACCACCTAAAGCACAACACACAGGACAGTGGACATGAGTTGCTGGGAATATACCACTGTATGTGTGCAGAGTGGGATTGTCGGTGTGATGCGCTCACCTCGATGGACGTATCCAGGATAGAGACAGCGGGAGCGTTCGCTCCAATAGGCACACACTCGCGTCCCCGCAGTCAGGATGGCCTCAGTCTGGGGCCGCACGTCTAGCACCTGGAAAGATCACAAAATTCTCTGTATAACGTATGTAGAGTCTCAGTCAAAGCTACTCAGCACCACACAACTACACACAAAACTGCAAAATGTGATAGATGCTATGGAGCATCAAGACTGAAACTCACAGCTTCCTGTAAAAGTTGTTCCAACGAGTAGATCCGGGGGCGATTCCCTCGTTCCCCTTCGATGACAACACTGAATCTAAGAGGAAAAAGTAGAGGGATATATGAGACAGGGAATAAAAATAAATAAATTCCCTTTTTAATGTGTAAGTTATAATTTTAGCACAGTTTTTCACTTTTATATTTCAATGTTGCCTTTTGAAAAAAGATAATAATAAAGTGTGCGCTGCTCAGTTTTTTCACTGGCAGCTGTGTTGGCTGCCACTGCTGTGTGTCTTGGCTTTGTAGTTGTCTAGCATTCTTGTTTGTCAAGATTCTCATAGCTGCCAGGCATTTAACTAGCGCTAAGCTAAGTTTTCAACTCTTTTGTAAATCTGACAAAACTCTTGTTGCAATATGTCTTTTTAGTAGTTAACTCCAGGGTTTCCCCCAGGACTTTGTTTAGCCAAGGTGGTTATCTACCCAGATTTTGATGCTTCCCGTCTTAGGATCAATAGATGACCTTAAAAAGTGTCAGTTTCTGTGTGAAATGGTGACTCTGCTATTTTCCCTCGAAGGAAATATATGTGGTGAGAAGCAGGGCCTTACATGTCAGGCAAGTCCAGAGTTTGGACACAGGCAGCGTAGAGCAGCTCATCCTCCTTGGAGATCAGGATCTTCAGCCCGTCCACCAACATCTCTTTACTCAACACACAGTTTGGCAGGGCTGCGGAGGGAGGGCGTGGTAGTAAGACGGATGGATGAAGAAGATAAAGGGGGGAGAAATACATAATTTCTGAGTATTGAGTAATTGCTATTTGAAGTGAAAAGGGGTGCGAAACAGATCCAACATGAAACTGCATGTGTTTGTGCAATTATAAGTAATGTGTCACTGCCTACCGGGTATTCTGCAAGGCATGTTGGGAGGGAGGTGAATCAACATTTTGTCCTTCGTCTCCTCCTCTTCCTCTTCCTCCTCCTCGCCCTCGGAGAAGCTGCTTTCCTCATCCAACCGAAAGCCATCGTCAGCTGCAAAGCTCTGCAGGAGCCGGCTCACTGCGTGGCCTTTGGTCTGGACAGGAAACAGGATATGACATCAGTGGGCAGAAAGCAGGATATGGTATGACTTCATTATATGCCCAAATTAATCAACAGTAAGCGGGAACTGCAGGTGACTGAATCAAGTCTTTTCCAGTCCTATGTGATTGATGTGGTGAATGCATCAGTAGAAAGCAGCCGCAGGCAGCAACGCCTCTTGTAATGTGATACTTCAATTAAGCCTGCAGGATTTTTCTTTCTCACTTGCCACTGTTCACTCAATGGTCAGAGGTCACAGTCAGTGATAACTGCAGCTCTTGAACTGGCAGGGCTTTAGCATATTGCCCAAGGACACTTCAACAGGGTGGATTGGATGCCTGCTTATATAGAAGCTTTAACCCTAATTTACATTCTCACCTTCAGACACACACACACACACACACGCCAGATACTATCCTTCTCCAGACCGGTTTAGGCTAGTCTATCCAAAGATGACAGATGATGATGGAAAGTCAGGTTGCCCAACAGGTTTCTGCTTGTATTTAGGCT